GATCAGGAAGCTGTGATAACCCCATTCAGAACCAGTCATAAACCAGCAGTCCACAACCTTTCTGGCTTGGCGGATGGGAGGGGGGAGGGGATGGTTTTGCGCACGTGTGTGTCATTTGTGCAAATGATGCTGCATGCGCTTGCCTACCCTTTGTGCAGCTCACTTTCCAGAAGGAGTAGGGATCTCTGCTTTAAACATATATACACACATACACAAACTCTTATTAGAAATTGTTGAGAATATTTATAGCTTGAGTTTAGGTTTTGGCAGTAATCTGTTCCCTAAGCTTTTTGTTTAGCTCCCACACTAGATAACTTCTTCAGCGGGGTTTTGGATAAAATGTCTCATCTGGTTTCTTCTCTGCTTACATAGAGAAGAAACACACACACTGTTTGGTGTTGCGGTCAGTTGTTCATGTGATGAGTTGTTTGTGTGTTCAGTTGTTCGTGTGACTGATTGTTCTGGGGCACGAAATTCACAGGTGAGGTGTAAGGCATCCAGAAAGTATCCATGATATCAATCACTGACATGAGGAAGTGGTCAATTTTGTCGTTGATTGGTGGTTCAGGTGATCTGTTTCCTTATTGGTTAATATGCTGGTTCAAAGTCAATGTGTTTGTTGATGGATCCATTGGTACAGTGCCATTTGTGTATATGATGGTTTTGGTGTGGCCGACAACTTCAACTTTGTCCCAGTTGAAAAGGAATTGTTATTTGCTGTCAGCATGGTTGGATCTAGGATTTTGGGTCATGTTGCTTGACTGTCAGGTGGTGCTCGTGAATTCTGGCTTTTAATTGTCCTGTTTATCCAACATAGAACTGGTTACAATTGATTTTGTATATTAAGATGGTGCTTTTTTCCTTCCATGTTCTATCTTTGATCGTTGTTAATTCTTGTCTGAGAGCGAAAGTGGTTTGTGTGCTATTGTTATTTCTGTTCTGACCCAAGCTTCGTCAAACGCAATGAAACACAAACTTGTTTTAAAAGCAAAACCTATTTTATTGCAATGCTGGGAATTACTTTAATTCCCAGCCAGAATTAATCTTAAACAGTTCCCCAAGATAAGCACACACCTTTCAGTGCTTTGGAATGCTGTCAAAAACAGAAGTATCCAATTAATTATAACAGAAACCAACCAAAGTACCAGAAGAAAAAAAAGAGTACACAGAACTTCAAGGACTCAGAATCTATTGAACTACTTTGCTTCCTGCAAATATTTTGTCATTGAGGTCTGACTTCTACCTCTTATGGGAGGAGCAATCACCTCCCAGCCTTACTCCTGAGTTGCCCCTTCTGTTTCAGTTGCTCTCGCCTTCTAGCAGCTTTACGCACAGGTGCACTGGGAACAGGCTCCCCTGGTTCCTCTGCTTCGCTGCTGCCAGACTCTGAAGGCTCTGAAAGCAGCACCTCACTCCCAGATGGTCCTGGCCCCATCCCTGCATCAGACACAGGACCTTCATCCAAGTCCTCTCCAGACTCCCTGACTAGTCCCCTTTCCTCCTCACTGTCTGATCGGCTGCTATCTGCACCGGCTGCCAGCAAACTACAATTCCTAGGGACTGCAGTAGTCTGTCAGATACTCCTGATGTTCCTTTGATGTATGGCAGGACTTGTCTCCATGTTGCATCTTGCTGTGTGGTTTTCTGGGGTTCGGGTGCCATGCATCACAATGTAAAGTTCTTGGGATAGTCATTGGAGAGGAAAAAATGTTTCTCCTCTGCTTCTCCTAGGGATTTGGTGCTGCCATGTGTTTTGGCTCTCTTAAAGTGGGTGTGGATACAGCTTTTAATGTGCTTTGGGGTGGTTGCTTGTGAAGTTCAGGATTTGGTTAGTGTGCTTGGATTTCTGGTATATACAAGTTATCAGTTTACTGTTTTTCTGTCTCCTCATATCCACGTCGAGGATTTTTTCAATTTTTCAAACTTGACAACTTTTTACAGTAGTATTTATAGACTTCAGCTCCCAGAATTCTCCCAGCCAGCATTTTGGGAGTTTCAGTCCACGCATCTTAAATTGCCAAAGTTTGAAAATTGTTTACACTTCAGTGCATTACAGAAAGCCAGAACACAGAGAAGTTAAGTAGCTGAGCATGCTGAGGCAGGGCAGGAAGGAGAAACACAAGAGACTGGCTTCCTGACATGCCATTCTTTTGTTCAAACCCGTCTGAAAACTCTGTGTAGACAAATCAATCTGGCCTGTTGTACCTTAGGGCCGCCCTATGTCTGAAATAACCGAAACCTCGAGCCCCGTGTTTTCTTTACTTGAGGCCACCTTCATTAACATCCTCAGGAGGCTGCAGGGAACGGGAACACTCGACTGGCCTGATGGAGTTTTCCACTAAGCAGTGGACCTGCTAATTACTGCACCTGAGACAGGATGGAGTCCGGTGCTTCTGAACGCTGGCAAGCTGCGACATCCTTTTTCTGAGGAGATTGTTTCTCTGAAACGTTGGGGAAAGGGCCAGGCAGGTGTGACAGGGAACAGAGGCTCAGGGTTGTTGTTTTTTAAGATAATACGGGGCAGGTAAGCAGTATCTGCCTGAACGGAATCACCAAGCCCGGCTGGAATTAAGGTTGGAGTACTGATGCCGTTACTGATGACTCCTAAGCTTTTGTGGTATATTTTCTTTTTAAATCAAGCTTAGAGAAAAATGTTATCAAGTTAGGTGAGGTTAAGAAGCAGGCACAGCAGGGATTCCAGAAATATTCTTTATTGTCATAAGGGAGAAACATTCCAAGTTTCTTGATGTGCTCCTGTATCAAACAAAATCAAAGTAGGGTTATTTTACTTGATTTTTATCCTGTTTTTAATTATTGTTTATTAAAAAAAAAAAACCTCAATGCAGTGAACATGGCTGGTATTTCTCTTCCTATCCTATTTTCTCCACAACCATAAACTTATGAGGTGGACTGGTCTGAGAGTTAGAATCTGTCCCAAAGACATCCAAATAGCTTTTAGGTATGACTAGAACTCCAGTCTCCTGGCAAATAAATTGGTGTCTTAACCACTAGACCGCATTGGGCTTTTGAAATTAATTTTAAGGTTTTCTTTCCTCACGCCATCTTCCTCTGTAGAGTGTAATCTTCCCTTAATGGCTACTCATTCCTTCCCTGAAATCAGCTGTAAATGCCTCTACAACATGTAACACCCCACTTTCAAGCAGCGAAAAGCTTCAGGGATATCAGCCCCAAGTTCAGCATCCTTGGAAAGTGGCTGATAGAGATCTCTCGATGAAGTATAATACGATGCTTCTTAGCAAGGGATTCTCTCTCATTCCAGCAGACTAAGCCTTTTCTTGGAGGAACTTTTGGAGAAGGGGTAAATTATTATAAAATTATCTCAACCCATCAATAGCCCAACTCAACTTCTAACTCCAATTCAACTGTCCTCACAGAATGATGATTAATCTTAGATGGGGTTTCGTGATTTAAAGAGTGCTTTGCCACACATGGGGGTGGGCAGGTTCCACATGAGATCCATCGTTCAAATCCCATGTAGGGGATTTACTTTAACGTACTGATCTGAGTAAGTTTGCAATGATAATGAAAATGCACTTTGGGGACAATCTCCAATGGATCAAAGTTATGTTGGAACCTCCTTCCCATTGGAAAGTCTGCTGGATTTTTAAATGAAAATATTCTCTGTGTGAACAAATATGCTGCACTTTGAGTCACATAGAGAGTAAACGAAGGGAGAGCTGTTAGTCATATGATGGAGTACACAATTCCAAGACAGTTAAATCCAGAAAGGTTGGAGCAAAGGATCTTGCTTTGCAACAATGAATCTTTACAGCCCCCCTCCCCCACCCCCTATTGGCTAGATCAAGCAATTGCATCTACCCAATCTCTTCTCTCTCGTCTATTCTGCAGGTGGAGAGATAATACAACTACATAACCTTTATTGTCTAACCAACCACTCCTGATGTGGCATTTTCTAGGCAAGTTGGACTAAAATATCAGAATCACCGTGATCAGAATCAAAAAATGTATACGGAAGAAGTCACACATTTTATTTCTACATTATCTACCCACCTTTCCCCATTACAGGCCTTTCTAACATTCATCTGAATGCACAAAGCCTGAAAAATGACCAGGACATGAGGCTGTGATTGACATGTCTCTCTGAACTTAGCTTCTTATCTATCTACTACTGTGTTTCTCATATAATAAGGCTGGGTCTTATTTTTTTTTGAGCCCCGAAAAAATGGTTAGGCCGTCTTTTCGGGGGTGACTTAATTCATCTTCGGGCGGGCAGGCAGCGACGGCTTGGATGTTGACCTCGGCGTTGGTGGGGCACTTCGTATCGGGGTCAACGTAGGCAGCACCATATCTGGGGTGTGCAACAAAAGTACTTCCTAACGGCAAGCCCCCCCACCATTCCCTCCATTTCGCATGTTTTAATATAGGCCTTAATTTGGGGGGAGGGGCTTAATTTCATTTCATGCCTATAAAACATGCTGGGACTTCCTATTGGGAGAGGCCGTATTGTTGGAGTAACAGTGTACGATCACTCTTTCTACCTGCAAATTTCAAAGGCACTTGTACCAAAGTAGGACACATCAAATTACTGGTCATGTTGTGCCATAATTCATTTAACCATAGTTTGTGAGCATGATTCATGGATTAACATCGAAGTATAATAAAGGATGATTTATAAATAACAATGGGTAGTTCAGCACTATATTAAATTAAATGATTCCTGTGGTATAGTGGTTAGAATACACCATTGCAGACCAACTCTGCCCATTGTGTAGGTCAATCTTGACATCAAGATCCTTCCACCCTGCCAAAGTTGATAAAGTGAAAACCCAGATTTTTGGGGACAATATGCTAACATTCTAAACTGCCCTAAGAATGGTGCAAAGTCTAAATGGCATTGACATTAAATCAGTTAAGCCATATGAATGAGTGAAAGAAATGTTCTAGCTCAGCTTTCCAACAGGTGAAATGTGTACATGTTTGAATGTGTGTATGTAGGCAAAAACACCGAAGACTGGTTGGGGAAACAGCATCATCATTTAATTTTTCCAAGTCACAGGAGGAGAACTACATGTGGAAGAGTGCAAACTGGCCTTTGGAGCAGGAGTGCAAATGGTATTTTGTGAAGCACACACATACAAGCATGCAAGCAGTACAGAACTAGACAGGTCCAAGAGGGATGAGATTGGCTTTTTAACCTAACATTCATAAATAGAAAAATGCAGGCATTCTTTTCAAGAGAAGAAAGAAAAACACAACACATATGGAAGCCATGGCAAACTTGGCTTAACTCTGAAAAGAAGAAGAATAGTCAGTCATTCAGGAGGAATTGGAAGGAACATGAACTATTTCTGTTTTACCTTGGGTGAAACATAAACACAAATCCAGCTTGTATAGTAGTTTGGAAGGAGAAATAAAGTGCTGAAAAAAAATTAAAAAGCAGGAAATTCTACATTCCCAAGCAAAATTCTCATGCGCAAAACATAAAGCAACTGCCACTTGGTTCGGAAATATAATACATCCACAACCAAAGCTTGATGAACTTTCTTCAATGTTTTTTTGTATAACAAACTGTGATTATGTCTCTAAGTGGGAAAATCTCTGCAGGCTTCCTCAAGATGAAGACCCAGACACGATGTCACAATTAACAAAAGTCAAGGATACCAGCACTGGTAGTAAAAGAATGAAGGAATGTTCTCAATCAATTCCTCCCAATAAAAGAAAACTCCCCACCAAAATTTCTACTTAGCCTGCCATCCCTGCAGAATTTTGAAAAATATAAAGAGGGCAGAGACAGGTGGAAACAAGGAACTAAAATGATATAGAAAAGCAGCTGCTAATCTGTGCTTCTCATCCCAGAAAATAATCTACTCCAGCTGCTGCTTCCAAGGCTCAGTCTGTCCGTGACCATTTCTAGCTGGGAAGTTCAAGGGTTTCCCTCTTCCTTTTGCCCCATGCCTCCTAACCCAGAAGGCTCTGTGATTTGTGAAATTCTAGTAGAATAAGATTGACAACGGAAGGCAGAAGAAATGAGTTTGGGATCGGGGATACGACCAGATATCGGTGTGAGAATCGGTGTGTTCCATCGGCAGTGGGGAGGAGAGAAGGAGGGAAAAAGAAATTGAAGAACAACAGTGATTCACAAGTAGTGAAGAAAACAATGCTCTAAGCAGAACGTAAGTGCTCCTCAACCCAGTACACCCAGTGTTCTAGCAGTACAACCGAGTCTTGTCCAGCTTTCCTAAACCAGGCAGTAGGACACCCAAACACCCCCTTCATTTTCATTGAGGCCCCACTGGATCTTGCTGGTTTCCAAATCCAGAACTACATTTCTTTCCCTGGTGAAGTTCCTGCTGATGTAAGGTTAGGTATGATGCTTCCCCTCTAGCCAACACCTTATTGAGCCCTAGTTGCTGCAGTTTCTCTACCAGATTCAAGCTGAAGATGCTATTTGGGCTCTTTTCAGGCTTCTTGTGGTGCAGCAGATGCAGTCCTGAAGTCCAATCAGCAAAACTATCCGAGTGGTAGTGCCACAATGAAAACAAGGAAGGAGAAAAGCAAGAAGAGACTGTTGGGTCCCTAATAGCATGGGATACAAGCGCCACTCCTTTGCTCTGTGCAGAAATGCCTTGTTTTGCCAGTAGAGTCACCAGTCCAAGCTTCTTTTCTTTCTTCTCCTGCCTGCATAGTTCCTTAAGGTGGGACTGAGGAGGGGAAGACCGGCTCAGCCCCGTGCAGGGCCCACAAGACGGCACAACTGTATTATAAAGACTAAAGAGGAGGGGGAAGAAGAAGAAGAAAATACCAAGCATTTAGTCTTAAGACTTTAATAGGTTTAGGTTAGGTGCTTAATTATAAACATACATCCCAACCTGCCTTGTTTTTTTCTGCAACAGCCTTTCAATCTGTACAGGCTGGGAATTCTGGCAACTGGGAAGTTTCTTTCACAGAAACTCTTTAGAGCAATGTCTAAATTACACAGCATTTTCTCCACTAGGTGCAAATGCCCATAATTAACTGGCCCCTGAAAATACTAATTTTCTATATAAAATAAGAAAGGTCCACATAATGGAACAAACCGAATGGAAAAAAACGGCTTACTCTGCCCTCTTCCGTTCAGTCTGCAAAGTGAAAACGGAGGAAAGCTTTGCAGGATGTGGGCTAGTGCTCCATTTCAGCAATTTTCTCTTGCTTGTGAATAGGAAAAGAGAGTTGCCCTGATATTTTGGAGTTTGATTGCATACTTTCTTTGCTAATTATAACAGCAGCATTTTTAAAAGGTACTTTTTGGTTCCCTTTCAGGTAATTGAGGCAGGCTCCTTGCAATTCACATGAACAGTGGCTGACTCTGGTTGTACCCGAGGCTGACTGAGAACTACACTCTTTTAGGCCCAATCCACCACAACTTTATTTTTAATTGGGCCTTCTGCAAAACAAAAGAAGGGTTCAAACTAGCATGTGAAATCAACAGTATTGTGTCAGCCGTAACACACTCTTTTTAGCACTCTCCTGAGCTACAGAGAGAGCTACCTTCCCTAACCTGGCCCCCTTTGTGTGTGGGGACTACATTTCCCAAAATTCCTCAGTCATGCCATGAGTCCAGCAGCGCCTGCTTTCTAAAATCAGGTACCTGTTCTTGGTGTCCAGGAGGAAGGTATTTCCATCTTGGTACCTGATAGAAAAAGATGGTGAAGACAGAAAAGCTCTGACCCATCTATCAATACTATAGTGGCTCCTAACATTATTACCAATTGCGGGTTTTTTTTTCACTGAGGCCATAGGTAGGCAACTACTGGCTATTTAGCCCCTTTCTTTCCATTTCTTCAGTGACTAATATATATTTTTTCAAACATATTCATACATATATTCCTAGGACATACTAAACATTAGGCCATGTTGACTACTATATAAATTACATTAAATATAACATACATGTTCTTCTAAAAAATTCCCTAATTCTTTGACTCAGAATGTTGGAACATTCCTAAGACTGGAACATTTTCTGTTTAAAATTATTAATGGGTACATGATAGGGTAAGAAGACCTCATCCCTGTGCCATTTTGAGTTTTCTATAGTTTATAAATTTATATCTGCATGGTTTTAATATTTTAACATATTTTAATTATTTTTCTATTTTTAATAGCCTGTAAGCCACTTAGAGGCACCTTATAGGAGACATGGGTGTCATAAAAATAAATAAATAAATAATAAAACATGTGTTTGGCCTACGAGGCCTGACTTCTGGTTCACTCTGTATATCTTAGCCATGAAAAACCAGCTGTGTTACTTCGGACCAATCACTCTCTCTCCCAACCCATCTCAGAGGGCTGTTGCTATGGGGAATAAAGGAGGAGGAAAGTGTGTTGGATATGCTCACTGCCTTGACTTATTTGTAAAAGCAATAAAGGCAGGATACAAGTAAATAAATAATCTGTAGGTTCCAATTGTTTGGATTTTTTTTCTTTTTTCTTTTGCATAGCAATAGCATAGCACTTAGACTTATATACCGCTTCACAGTGCTTTTACAGCCCTCTAAGCAGTTTTCAGAGTCAGCATATTGCCCCTAACAATCTGGGTCCTCATTTTACCCACCTTGGAAGAAAGGAAAGTTCTGAAATAGGCTTTGTATAAAGAAATACTCAAAACTTACAGATGATGTTCCAGGCTCAGATATGACACCACCACTGACATCATTTTCCACAACAGAATGTCTCCTTGCCACCCTTCTCCAAATATTAATGATTGCCCATTTTTTATTTAGGAAAAGATCTCAACAGCATTAGTTTTGTTAGCTATCCATTTTTATCTTTCTGAAAACAGGATTAGTTGAAGCCTCAGCCCTGAAAGTCAGAATCACAAATTTCATTTCAGTTAGTTTGCAGAAAAGCAGAGAGATTGGCAGTGAAGTCTGAAATAAATTAGTGGGTTAAAATCTTACTTTCCCAGAGAGGTTGAATCTAGCTACCCATCTCAACCACCGAGAATGACTCCTGGATTTGCAAACTGCTATAGGTTATGCTTCACTGAGTTTGAGTAGCATATGGCTTAACAAACAGTGGAAGCTCCACTATTGCTCATTAATTAAATTATAATATGGTGATCTGGACACAGCTGTTTCGATTTTGTTGACCTGGTTGAAAGTTTAAGCTTGTCATATACAATCAGTCACAATGTTATGGATAATTTCATAAATCTCCATGTAACCCAGGATCACAAGAGCTATAGTCCATTTTTTTCTAGTGAATGACTGAGAAAAACTGACTTAAATAAATCCCTTCCTTCCTTCCCTTGTTCCTTTCTTACAATGAGCTTTTAAGAGAAAGGAGACCCATATACTTTGCTTATCACTCAAATCCTCATCATTATCCTTTAGCAAAACCTTCTTTACATTAACCAAGCACAAGATGTAAAAGGTATCCAGAACAGGGGAAGGCTGCTCATTTGATGCCTCTAAACTAAGAACCTTTGGCTCCTCCAAACTGTCAACTGAACGGGAAGATAAAGGGAAAGAAGAGGCTCAGAGCAACTAAAAGCCTCTGGAGAAGTATTTGAGCAACTGCATCCAACATTAATGTTGACCGAAGGCAGGTGCCTGTGTTTTATTATTCCACAATGACTTTTTATGGGCTGCCCAGCAGGTGTTTTCTTAGCCAGGGCTTCATCAGGCCAGTTCTATGAACTTTCATTCTCTATTTTCTGCAAGGCTTTGCTCCTCCCTGTAGCCATTATCCAATGGGCTTGGGTCTCCTTTTTTCCCACCCAGGGTCACTCGGGAGGTGATGAATCAAAGAGGAAAGTTCTGTTGCTAGATGGAGAGGAAGAAAGCAGCAAGCAAGGATGTCTTACTTCAGGGCTCCCATCCATGTGCCCAGAAGTTGCGCATATCAGGAGAATGCCTAAAGTCAGGATTTGACAATGAGGAAGGAGGAGAATGCAAGACAAGAGGTAGAAAACAAAAATAACAGATGTGCCTGTACACATCCTTTATGTAGGAAATGGCCTTCCCATGAATGAGAAGGACAGGTGGTTGGAAAGCTTAAGGGAAGGGCAACAGGATGCTTACCTGGGTGTCACCATGGTAACCTCTTTGCTAGGGTGCGTGATGCAACAGGTGGTGATGGTGAAAGTAGGCGGGGTCTGGGGCAGATTGTTAACGGAGTGAAAAACTAAACGGGATAGGAAAACAAAGGGTCAATGAGTGAATAGAATAGGGAGGGGAGTCATGGAGGTGGACAAACATCAAGGGAAAAAGTGAAGGGAAAAGCTTCTATAAACAATAGGGTATTAAATTCCATCCAATCTGTCAGCAATGATTAATAACCTCCAGCTGGAAAAGGGGTGGAGGACTCATGGCTCCCAAGATTTTACTGAACTACAACTCCCAGCATCCCTCACTGTGGCTAAGATTGGTTGAATCTGCTGGTAATGATTGTCTGCAAACGTAGAGCAGTGTTTCTAGACCTCAGCACTTTTTAGATGCATAGACTTCAATTCCAGAATTACACAGCAAGCATTGCTGTCAGGAGAATTCTGAGAACTAAAATTCATGTATTTGTTGAGATTGATAAACACTGAACTAGAAGAGAACAGGTTCTCCAGTAGAAAGTTACTCCTGGAAGCCTTCTCTCAGACACATTCTCATGACCCCCTGATTCACTGCCACAGGAACACTGCCAAAACACCCATAGTATATCTACTAGTGATGCTGAGTTTGGATCTCACCAATAGGCACATATTCCAACTATCACACCTGCCAATAAATTGTGATTGCTTTCCTGCAGGAAAGATGAGGTGATGTTTATTAACTTTCAAATCAGGATTTCCTCAAATCTTACCAAGACAAGCTAATGTTATACCATTAGCAGTGATCCCGCTTAGCCCACTCACCAGTTGGCGTTTCTTTGGCTTTAATTGTTGAGGTAGCAAGGGAAGACAAGGCGCTGGCATCCATGTCATCTTCTTCTAAGTCATTTAGATTGTGGACCTCTCCAAGATCAGTGTCAAGTTGGCAGAAATCTTTGGTAAAGACACCTGGTCGAGGGTCCAGGATTCCTGCCAGGTGAGGACGGGCCAGCTGCTGCCAGTGATGCAGAGTCATTGAACCTAAGAAAAGGCACCCAGGTCTACTTGAGTTTGCTGGATCTAGTGGCAAATCCCTGCAGAAATCATTTATAGCATGCCTAAACAGAAGTATGGGGAATCTCAGGCCAACATTTTAATGAGAAATAGAAATTTCCAAACTACATGGACAACATTGAAAGGCAGGAGGGAATCTTGAAAATTTTAAGCCTCAATTGAAGGGCACCAGTCACTTACAGCTAGTTCTACAATGTCATCTGGGGTATCTGTCTATTTCAACACTTCCAATAGGAACATCCGATAGGAACATTGTCTAATTCAGTGGTCCCCAACCTTTTTTGTACCAGGGACCAGTTTCACGCAGAAACACTTTTTCAAGGACCGGGGGGGGGGAGTCCGAGTTTGGTGGTTTGCTTGCAGACGTTTCATTACCTGACTAGGTAACATCTGATGTTGTTACCTAGTCGGGTAATAAAACGTCTGCCAGCAAACCACCAAGTTCACGGAGCGCCAATGCCTCCTCATTGCAACCCTGAGCGACAGATATTCTCTTCTATTGGGACATTTAAAACGGAGGGTTTCAGCTGCAGATTCAGGAACTGCGCCGGGCTGAGGAGCGCCTTCAAAACTGAGCGCTGGGCGGCGGCGGCCCACGGCTGTCTCCGCGGCTCAGGACAAGTCCCTGCAGGACGGCTGAGAAGCCCCACCTCTCGGCCCTGCCTCCCTCAGCCTCATCCCTCAGGTGTCTGCCTCGTTTCTCTCTCAGTCGCTCTCTCGCTCCTCCACCAGCCCAGGAAGAAACCGCTTCAAAGAAGCCGGCAGGGTGGCTTTTCCTGTCAGCGCAGCTCCTCCGAAGCGCCCGTTCACCCCCACCCCGCCACCCACGGTTCAATCCAGTGCTCCGTTCTGCCTGCCTGCCTTCGTTTCTGGTTGTTTCGGAGCAGCTTCAGCTGAGAAAAAGAGGCGAATAGTTATTATTCTCAGCCGAAGCTGCTCCGAAACAACCAGAAACGAAGGCAGGCAGGCAGGAAGAACGGAGCACTGGATTGAACCTGGATTGATTGGCGGCGGGGTGGGGGTGAACGGGCGCTTCGGGGGAGCTGCGCCGACAGGAAAAGCCACCCTGCCGGCTTCTTTGAAGCAGTTTCTTCCTGGGCTGGTGGAGGAGCGAGAGAGCGACTGAGAGAGGAACGAGGCGGGAGGAAACCGAAGCCAGAGAGCAGGACAGGCTTTGGTTGCTTCCTCCCTCCCCTTCTTACATTTGTGTCCTTGATCCCTGATCCCAGCAGCATTCACCGAAGGCGAAGAAAGCCGCCATTTTTATTTTATTTTTTATTTTTATTTTCTTTGCGGCCCGGTGCAAAGTGATCCACGGACCGGTACCGGTCCGCGGCCCGGTGGTTGGGGACCCCTGGTCTAATTGGTTGGGTTTCACCCATTTCTATTCTGTGCTCTACTAAAGCATTTAAACCTGGTTGCATGAAAACCTGCTGTATGTTTACAGTCCCATAACAACTTTTCTAAATCTATACTTTAATTGTGCCTCGGTCAGAATGAATATGGATCTTTCCATAGGACGGCTGCCATACCACTTGGTTCAATAATTCTGGATGGCTTTTTTTCAGTACAAGGAAAGCCATCCCATGTTCCAGACCCATTTTGGCTTTTTGTCAGGAGGTTAGCATGGTAGATTTGCTTTTTCTATCTTTCAGTTCAATTTCATAATTTGCTGACTCAGTTCTTCTCTTTACTATGTAGGGGACTTGCCTCTTAGCCTGCAATTTGCTTTCATTACTGGGAAATAACAACAAATACTTGCTTTCCTATAGTAAATTGCTTTGCCTTTAAACCTTTATCACAGACTCTCTTTTGTCCTTCTCTATTTATCTCTAAGTGCTTTTAACTTATTTCTGTGAATTGTAATACATATATTAAGTTCTTAGGGTTTTCTATATTTTCCTACCAACATTTCTTAATAATGTCTAAAGACCTTAAAATTATCTCTTATTAAAAGGAGAAGGGGGCTAAAATTCCTTGGATGTCTGGGGAATTTTCCTGAATGCAAACAACATAGACAGCCATGTAACCCAAAATATTGGGTCTTGACCTGCATATTTCTTAAATATAATTTTCAGGGTCTGGTTCATCCTTTCAGTAAAATAACCTGCCTGCGGATGATAAGGGCTTTTTATTCTTAAATCTCCACAAAACACTTACACAGTGCTGATTAGAAATTGGATCTTTCATCTGTGAGGATCTCAGTTGGTGTGCTTATCCTATTGAAGATTTTGAGCAGTTCCTTAGCTATTCATTTAGCTGACACAGTCCTCAGCAGAACTGGTTCTGGGTACCAAGTTGCTTAATCACAAACAACTAGGATATATTCACTGCATTTACTAGATCATGGCAGAAGGACTACAATGTCCAGGGTTATTTTAGAAAAAGGAATGGGAATTAAATGTATTCTCTCCATTGGAGCTTTATTATATTCCAGTTTTGACTTTCACTAATTGATAAACAGGGCAGGATCCATAGTAATGTGCCACATCTTTACAAATGCCTGGCCAATAAAACCCAAACTTCTGTATGTGGTCCTATCTCTACCCATATGTCCAAGCTGTGGATTTTCATAGGTAGTTCCAATATAGCCTTGCAATATTACCGAGGAACTACTATACTACTATATACCATTTCTCTGTATTTCGACGAAAACTAATTCAAAACAGCAGCCCTGATTTTTCTTGGAATCTGGGTATTGTCTCTTTGTTTCCCTCCTTTTCTCCTGCTAACCAACAGTGTTGGGTCTTTCTTTGCAAGGGTCCTTGGTGAATTTCACATTTTGGAGTTTCTGTCACTATGAGTCGCTGTTGCTTTCTAGGGCATCTCCTTTTAAATCGGGATGCCTGGGAAGAGTCCTAGATTCCCTCCCTTCTTATTTCTGCTCCATTCTTGCCTCCTTAGATTGGGCTGTTGTGGTTACTCTCAGTATCTTAGCCCCCACTTTGAATCCTTTCCCGAGTTCAATCCTCAGTAAGTGGAAAATCTGTTCCAATCATTAGGTTACATGGTAATCTGGGGATTACTCCTACAACTGTTACACGAAGTACTGCACATATAAGTCTTACCAGGAATTTAACATAGCTTAAAATAAAAAAAGAAACACACCCTCCCCCAAAGTCTGTACTTTTCTCAACATTAAATGGGAAGCGCTGTCCTATAAGAGTTTCCCTCCCCCGCCCCCCAAATCTAGATCTTGGAACTGCCATGAATTCACCCTTCCAGTTAAGGTTTGCCCGTAGAAATTCCCTTCCCTTATAGAATGTCGTAAGATTACTTTCGGAACTGTAGTACAGATACTCTTCGACTTATAACCACAACTGAGCTCAACATTTGTTAAGTGAGTTTTGCCCCACTTTATGACTTTTCTTGCCATACTTGCTAAGTGAATCACAGCAGTCGTTAAGTTAGCAAACACGGCTGTTAAGTGAATCTGGCTTCCCCAGATTGACTTTGCTTGTCAGAAGGTTGCAAAAGAGGATCATGTGATCCTGGGACTCTGCAAACGTCATAAATATGAATCTGTTGCTAATATCTGAATGTTGATCTCGTGACCATGGGGATGTTGCAACAGTCATAAAGGGTGAAAAATGGTCATAACGAACAAGTTGATGGGTGATTAATCGGGGGAACCGATTAAAGTCACTTTTTTCAATGCCGTAACTTCAAACAGTCCCCAAATGAACTGTTGTAAGTCAATGACTACCTGTATTATTCAGAAATGGCACTCTGAAAATAATGAACTTGGAAAGCCAACGGACACACAATAAATGAACAACTCAAAGTAAGCTGTTTTTCCAAGTGAAGAGGCCTGGGCTTCCCCATTGCACTAACCTTCCATAGGCTTGATAATTTGAAGCTTTTCGGGGAAGAAAGAGTAGGAGCTCAAGGACGTGCCAGAACTGCCTGAATAGTTGGTGCCTATGGATGTGATGCTTTCGCTGGGCGTCAGGCACCCACTGAAATTCTCCGCCTCCCAAGCCAGGCGCTTCAATTTGCATTCACGTTCCATCTCAAAAAATGAATGCTCAGTGCTGTGGTTCTTCTGGCGAGCAGACAAACTCTGGATAGCAGCTTCCAAGACATGATGGCCAGGTATACCTGATGTAGCATCCACGCTGCTGCTAAAATAAAGAGAGTTGTGAAGGCGATATGATTCAGAAAGCATCACCATTAGCATGTTATCAGAGGGAGAATTCCTGGTTCTCCAGATGTTGCTGTATGATAGCTCCTCGAGCTCCAATGTGCATAGTGATAACGGGGGATTCTAGAAACTATCGTTCAACATCTTTTGGAGAAGCATAGACTGACCATGATCAATCATTAAGTCAACAAAAAGATAAACATCTGTCCCAGAAACATCTCTGCCTCTAAAAGCTTTTTGTTGAAACTGGATGGGAGAGACAATATAGCAATAAGAGATTAGAATGAACCAACAAAGACATTGACATTTTGTCTTGATTTCAGTAAGAACAAGGACTAGGCTTTTGGCAACTGCAGACTTACAAGACTTCGACCAAGACATTTTTCACTAGAGGCAGAAGATACCATGAATGGAAAGTAAGTTCCCTGGGATTGACAGGAGATTTTTTGGATACATCAGCAGTTTGATGGGTTGTGTCCAACAATGCAAGGTGTTAAGAGGACATTATGTTGGTTTGCAAATCAAAGTTTGAAAAAACAGTGTCAAAGGAGTCTAGTTGAAAGCTTTTGCTAGGATAGGCATAGCTATTAGAAAAATAGGGTGATAAAGAGTTGTTCCCCTTGTTTTGTTAGAAAAATCCAAGGTGATGTGAGGAAGGAATGAGGAGACTTGTGTTTCTTTAGCTACCCATTTTTATGGCTTTTTCATCTCAAAGCCCATGCCTGGAATTGCTTCCTAGAGATAGGAATATAGTTATTTGACAGCTTTTTCTTCATCAAAGGCCCATTCGGACAAAATACTGATAAATCTTTTGATGTCCCTTAAGGTAGTCCCCAAATATTTTTTTTCTTTCAATGGGACTACCTCAAACTATGGATGGTCTGGAAAGTTTGGAATCAAGATAAACAGACTTCTCTGCAATATATGGTGCCCATAAATTGTTTGGATAGATTCATGTCCCACCAATAACTATGGGCAAGGAATGAGGATGGAACTTAAAATCCTGGGAAATAGGTATAATCCAAGGCTGCTGAGCCAGAAATTGTATAGGTTTGGCCTTTAAGATGTAATCCAACCTTCCTAAGAGCATGCTC